TGTTGTTTTTGAGTTGAAGCTTTGGATCTTGAATTGCTTTGATCTCTAAGACAGAATAGATAGGTGGACGAGGATCTCCCTGCCGGAGGAGGACTCTCAGCAGGCGTCAGAGAAGAAATCAAAGACCTGCAGGCCGCAGTGCGGAGTCCGAGAAAATCATTTGACCTTTTATGCTCTTGAAGACCTTACGTGCATCCCGTTTTTCCCGGTCTATGGATCTGGTTTTCTTATTTTTCTTCTTCAAACAGGCTTTGATATGACAATCATGACAGATGTAGGAGTTGATGCTGGGTCTGATTGCTCTGTTTACAAGGCATTTGATTTGGGTTTTTATATCAATCCCTTTAATTTTTGGACAAGGGTTTCTCTTTTCTACTGTTTTTGTCCCTTTTGAGAAGATCCATATTTGTTTGTTGTTGTTTTTCCTTTTTTTCAAATGTAAATATGTGTGATTAATTGATAATGATGTTTAAGAATTTGGGATGAAACATGGTATGTATCTATTTTTCATGATTCACTGTTTTGAGATGTAAGAATTTAGTTCACGCTAATTCTATTTTGTTGCATTATTATTACCATGTATCTTGATATTTAATGGTGTTGAACTTGTGCCCGACAGCTTGATATTGACGGGGATGATTTGAGAGTCGATCGTACGTATATAAAACGGACATCAGCGATATTGAAATCGGCCCTCACAACTCGAGAAGCGGATGTGGGCGACAGTGTGAGGCTCAAGCTGATCAAGGACCCAAAAAAACTCACTTTATAAAGGCAGCAGAAAAGCAAGCCCACCTCCGACCTTAGACCTCAGGGAGTAATAAAATTAATTGACTCTTTCATTTTCCACCTTCACAGGTTACCAATGCCCTTTTATGCAAAGAACAACCGTAGATTCCCACAAATGCTCTTCGTCGCCATGCTCCGACCGGCCGAATCGACTTAGACATGACCACGACCGGTCTGACTTCTCCGTCTCTGCTGCCGATAGGTTCATATCTATCTCCCTACCCTTACGACAATGGGTTTCGTGAGTTCGATTAAATTCTCGCATTTAGGTATCGGTCGTTTTACACGGTACTTTTTTTCTTCTTTTTTCTACTTTTCTTATTATGTAATTTGTTAAATCGCAATACGTCCAAGTATAGCTATCAATGATGGTTCATTCTGTTTCGCATTTTTCATTTGAGGTTTTGATTTTTATATGCATGTAATTACTATATAGCTTTTATTTTCTAATAGCTCTTTTTTTTCTTCCCAATTTGTTGGATTATTTTTTTGCAGGCCTGTGATGCTCTAGGATATCCTCTATAAGTTTAACCTTTGTTCCTGTGTCTATTGCGTGCACATTTTGTGTTGTGTCTTTGATATAGAGGTGAATTATCACATGTGATAGACGACTCTTGTATATATATATATATATATATATATATATATATATTGATAGAGGTGGTTCAAATAAAAACTAGTTATGGAGTGACAACTGTGAGAACTGAAATTAATGCTCTCTTTAATTGTGTATAATGCTATTTTTATTGTTACATGGTGCTATCATTTTAAAAAATGTTAATATAAATTGTATTGCTATTTTTAACAAAATACATCATGGTTAAAAACTAGCACTAAAACACAATTAATCATAGTACTATTTACAATTAAAAATAGTGGTTCTCATGGTCTCACACTAAAGCTTGGTTCTCATTTGAACCACATCATATATATATATAAACTACGATCAAATGAGAATGAGTGATAGTGAAAAAAATATAAATATATGGTAGCCGTCAAATGTCAGATGTGATCATGTGATATATCGACGCTCCACGCATGCTCAAAACTCCAGTTGTGGTCAAAGGGAAGGTGGTAATACTCTAATTATGTGTACTTTTAATTTTTCACGTGGTTTTGTCATTGCACTGAATATATAATGTTCCGCCAATTGAAGGCCGGCATTTTTAAAAAAAATAAATAAATAAATTTCGCCATTACTGATTTTGGGAGCAAGGTACTCCATCGGAGTCGCGGTGGGCAGAGTAGAAGTCGGCAAGAAGTAGGGAAACGTCACTCGCGACGACTGGGGAGGGGAAGAGGTAGTCTGGCGGGGCAAGGAGAGGTGGCGACTAGGGAGGGGATGAGGGTGTCAGACATGCAGCGCGGAGAAAGTCGGTGTGGGACTGCGGTGACAGCGAGAAGACAGGGTCAAGAGAGACGGCGGACGACACAGAGTGGCCGGTGGGGCGAGGTGGTGGTCTTTTTCGGCAGGTGTACACTTTGTAGATACAAAAATCAAGTTTGTACGAGAGAGAGAGAGAGAGAGAGAGAGAGAGAGAGAGAGAGAGAGAGAGAGAACTATGTGAGAGAATGAGAGTGAAGGGGGTGGGTCCCACATGTTGGGAACATGTGTGAAATGTAATGTCGAAAATACCATTTATTTGTGTATTATCATGACTCGTTTTCAGTCGTACAATTATCATATCTAATGTCTACGATGCATTCTTATTCCTTTCACTAAAAATCATTTTCATTAGAACTCATTCACGTATATATAGTTGTGCAGTAGCTATTAATTATGCATTTTCCGGTTTTATTTGGTTATTAGTTTTTTTTACAAGACGGTAATTATTATATAACAACTACTAAAAGCCAGTACGCGACCGAACTCACACTCCTTGGATTATCTAGACTATCGAGGGGAAAAGACAATTAAACTTACTAAAAAAACTCACAAAGGGCACAAAATACCTCTTGAAAAAAGTGGACTACAATACAGACATAGCTGGGACTACACAACCAAAAAAAGAAAAAAGAAAAAAAAAAGGGCATCTACAATAAAACTATAATAAAACCCCTCTACTATTCATTAGCCTCCCGCTACTTCCCCACACCTTAACATACAAACTAGCCTCTGGAACCAAAAACTAAAGGAAGACTACAAATCTTGAGCCTTCAGAACTAAGAACTCCGAACGGACTCAAACCGCTGGTAGATCCGGCAAAGAGACATATCCGAGCCCAGATCTGGGTCCCCAAAAGCTTCAAGCCGAAGAGAGAGACCGAAATGCCGAGAACCAAACCCAACAATCCTCACCGGTGGAGCTGCCATCACCTTAGACCCCAACTCAAGCCCGGAAAGGTGAGGTGAGGTGAAAAATCCTGTTGTCACTAGAACCACCTGTTGACTACTTGGTGTGAAATTACACGAGAATCCTACGAACTGAAGTGTATTTTTCAGTTCTTGCAAAAGATCTAAAAATAGAAAATTACAATTGAGCTGAAAAATAAATTACAACTGAAAAACGGAAAGATTTTAACCGAGGCGAGTAAACTCTTTCCTCAAGAAGAATACGCCTGACCGCGCGTCGCAACGCGGCAAAATTAAATTATATTTTCCTTAAACAACTTATACTAACTAGCAGTAGTAGTGAGCAAGGGTCGAACCCACAGGGAGTATGAAATTTAATTGTAATTATTTTCTTTAATTAAAATTACGAAATACTACTAAAAAGGGGGTTTTGATATGAATAAATTAACTGCTAGAATGATGAAAAGCAAAATAAACAAATGCAGCATTTTCAAATAATGGGAAAGCTTCTTGTTCAAGGTTCCGTCTACACCCTCGACCAACTCGTTTAACCAATTATGTTATCAAATTTCGCTATCTTATGGAATTATTAGCCCTAGGTAACAACACGCGTTTTTACCCGAATTTTTCCTTTTTGTTAATTTAACCGCGAGACGCTCTACGATTAAACCTAACTTCTTGTACAGTCTAGAAAACGCTTCCTAGATTTAATACAATTAGCCGCTTTACGATATAGAAAAATAAGCTAGACTAAGTAGTGAACTCAACCGCGTTCGTTCACTTAAATAGGTTGTGTTATCCCCGGTAGTTACTATCTTTCGGTTGATACTTATTGATTAAACAAATCAACAATTACGGATTGACGATTTAATTCTAGCAATACATATGAAAAACATAGTCTAGGTGATCAAACTAAACAAGACTCACAAATCTAAGTTCTGCTACGAAGCCAACAGTTGACTCCATAATGAAGCCAACCTTCTATATACAACAAATAAACCTATCATATTCTCTGATTACTTAAATAATAATAATAATAATAATAATAATAATAATAATAATAATATAAGTCTATTAATATGACAAGTTTATTTGTTGTATATAGAAGGTTGGCTCCACTATGGAGCCAACTGTTGGCTTCATAGCAAAACCGTCGTTATTGATCTCCATATAACAACAAAAAATATATAGAGTAAATATTTATAATAACTATATATGAATTAAATAAGAAAATGTAATACTAGCATATGGTAACTTAAGAAAAAAGGAAAGTTAAAATAGTGTATGGTAATTTCAAAGTCTAATAGTTAAAACCAAAGCTGAACATGTGTCAATACGAAGTATAAATTTATATCAAATAAACTTACGAAGCATATGAGTCTCTCGCTTACGCTCAACGCATTCTGGAATTATATACAAGGGTGATATCATTATATTTACTAGTCAAGTAATACCACCGATATTACCGGTCCGACCGATAATACCGCTACTGGTGGCTAGACTGGTATGACCACCAGTACGGTACTTAAAACACTAATATTTATTGTGTATTTATTTCTAAATTATATATACTTCTTATATATAAACACAGAATTTTGTTAATAATATAAGTTCCTAAGTAGCATACTCAAAATAATATATATATTAAATAAAATATTTTTAATTAAGAAACGTATGTGTAATACACGTTGTTCGATATAACATAATTAAATAAAATATTTTTAATTAAGAAACGTATGTGTAATACACGTTGTTCGATATAACATAAGGCTAAATCGGTATAACCAATGTTGTGGTATTTAAAACAGCTACCTAAATCAAATACCCTGTTTTATTTTTTGTAAAAATGGTCTTTTTTTCCACCTATTTAAGTTTTTCGCACCGTTTTACACCATCCAACAAGACAACTAAAATTACTTTCAACCCACGCCCGAAAAACCAACCCTCTCTTCAATCTTTACCATAAAACCCCCTCTCATTTTCGATGTGGCTTCCACCACGTACACTGGCTCCCCACTCCCCTCCGCCGGCGCCACCCTGAACCGCCGCAGAACTCCGGCGACCACCCTCTTCATCTGCAGGAAGGCCATCTCCTTCCCCATGCACACCCTCGGCCCCGCCTGAAACACCGGATAAGTATACGCATCCTTTCCGACGAACTCCCACTTTCCTCCACCCTCCTCCTCCCTCCTCAGCCACCTCTCCGGCCTGAACTCCGGCCAGTCGGCCCCCCACACCTCCTCCACCCTCCCCATAGCGTACGGGTGGTAGCTCACCCTCCACCCCTTCTTCACCGGAGTCCCGTCCGGCAGCACATCGTCATCCCCCGCTGTTTTCGTGCTCACCGGCACCGGCGGGTACAGCCTCATCGACTCACAAATCGCCGCGTGCGTGTAAACCAAGCTCCGCGCCTCGGAAATCGATGACAAAGATTCCCCGTTGATCTTCGCTGCCTCGTAATCATTTACTTTAATCTCCTCCACAATCTTCTCTTCCACTCTTGGATTCTTCGAAACCAGCCAGAAGAACCACGTCAGCGCCGAGGATGTTGTGTCCCGACCAGCCAATATGAAACTTATCACAATATCGATCACGAAATCCTCGTCCGAATGCCCGGAGCTCATGAATCTCGACAGAAGATCCTCCGCTAATGATGACGATGAGCATGTCTTCTTCTTCTCCCTGACTATCTCCTTCGCGAATTCTCGGATTTTCGCGACGTTGATCATAAGTTCCTTCTCCGTCCCGACACCGAGCGCCCGTTTGATTCTCCACGCGAAGGGGAAAAAAGTGTTGAACCTCTTGCCGGTGAGGCGTAACGACTCGTCGAAAGTTCGCGCGAACTCCTCCTCCGGGAGGGACGGCGCTAGGTAAGCCGGGTCATACCCGAACGCGATTTTACAGATGTTGTCGAACGCAAACCTCTGCAGAACGTCCTGCATGTCGAGAAAGGCGTCCCGTTTTCCAGCGGCGTTTTCGAGGATTGGGATGAGGCGGGAGTCGAGCTCGACGTCAACCACCTGCTCGACGAATTTGCGGAGGGACCTCGTGTTGAACTGGTGGCTCGACACCTGGCGTTGGAACTTCCAGATGTCGCCGTCGGCGTTGAAGATGCCATCACCGAGTAGGTCTCGGAGCATGTCCCGGAGGAGGTCGCCTTTGGGGTATTTGTGGAAGGCCGACTTGAGAATGTGGGAGACGTTGGCGGAGTTGGCGGTGAAGACCTGGTGCTGCCCGAACGGGCGGTGGAGGGTGAAGGTTAGGTTGGGGGTGGAGAGTAGGATGTTGGAAACCCACGGGACGAGACGGTCTCGGTTTTTTAAGATGTGGAAGATGGAGCCGAGTAGAGGGTATCGGGTGGGGATTTTGGAGGAGGGAGGGTTTCGTTTTCCGGCGAGGATGAAGAAGATGAGCGGCGGGAGTATGAGAAGGAGGAGACGAGCCAAGTGAAGGTCTACCATTGTTGGAAAAAATGAAGATGGATATGGTGATTGTAAATTGTGATGAGTTTACATGGGCTGAGTTCAAGTTTATATACATAAGAATTGGAAGGGAAAAATCACATGTTTCCTTTCCTGGCTCTACTGTCAACCGCTGACTTAATTAGCTATGGGCCTATGGCTATAGGACTATGTTTAGACACTGATTTTCTCAAGGGATAATAGGCCGGTGTGACAATTAATTCGTACACTTTCACGTTTTCTTATTCTTCTTCTTCTTACTCTATTATGTGAATTTATGATATATAGAGTATTTATAAATCCTTCTTGTTGTTATTATTATTATGAAAAGAGAAACAAAGAAATCTACATTCCTCATAAAGCACAACAGTTTCACTGCATAAAAAGTTCACAAACAAAATAAATAACACAAGATAAAATGCCAACGCTACTCTATATACTATTTTGCTATCTTTCACCATGTAAAAGGAAGAAAACGGGCTTTTTTCTGGAGCCATACATGTGATCTCTTGTTACAGGCTCATCACAAGAAAAGAAATCCAACTGAAAACTCTACAAGACAGAGTAATTTTAAAGGGAAAACACGAACACCCTCAACGGTCATGATCTCGGCTGACAAAAAAATCAGGAAAAAAAAAAACAATTTTACCGGAGTTTAATTCTTGAAGCATCACACGGTCGGTCAGCGTTTCTTGTATATACACCATCCTATATTAATGGTAAAATCTAAAAAAAAAAGAAAAAAATTCAACTCTCATGTCCCTCTCATTTATGACGAGTGTACTCACCAATGCCTCTCTATCCCCCACAATCCTCTTGTATAGAACTTCTTGTTGTACAATATAGCTAGAAAACAGCACAGTCGAAAGAGAAATTCGTGTTACTTTTAGATGTTCCGACCAGAAGGCAAGGAGAAAAATAAGAAAATCGTGTTACCTATTTCACCATAGCATGAATCAGCAATTATATCAGTTTTTTTCTTTTCACCTATGATTTGAGGTGAATTCAAAACGCTACACTTTTTCATTCAAATCATAAATAAAACCATTCGCAGTTGAGTGAAGGAACTTACTCTGTATTCTACGCATGCACGAAAAAGTCATCTTTTCTTAAATTCTGTCTTCCGCAATTCACATAGCTGGCGGGCTATTTCCTGAACTAACTCCAATCCATCCTTCCCATTATGGATCAGGACGCAAGTACGCTTCACAAAATCCCGATCTGCCTCAAGTGCTTCCAATCTTTCATAAAGCTCTCTAATTTCCCTCTCCATGTTACCAGAATTCATTTCACCTCCATTTTCCAAGACCTTTTCGCCCTTCTGGCAAACATTATCATTCATGTTCATGTCCGTGTCCCTATCAACATTTCCATTCGATAGGGGAATAATAACATCCTCCACAAGCATGCTATCCTTTTCATGCTTAGCCAATAAACCCTCATGATTCCGAACCGGGTCGATACCATTAGGCAAGTGATTAGATTTTTCCTGAAGCAGCTTTTTCTCCAACTTCTTCAAACTCTGCAATATATATGCCCTTTCCTCCTCAAAAATCGTTAAAGAACCATTACTCGCTTCAAGAACCCCATTCTCCCCCGAATGCACGACAGGAGCCCGATTATTCTCGCTCTGCAAATTATGCACCCCCGATTCATCCAGAAAATTGTTCCGGTAAAATTCCAGCTCGATTTCCAAATCCTGCAGCTCCTTCTCTTTCTCAGCCAGCATGTCATTAGCCCTTCCCAGAGCCTCCATATCATACTCCGCTTGCTCCTCCATCATACGCAAGTACTGCAGTGCCTCCATGTGGAGCGCGGCTTTTTCCTCCTGCAGACGAGTGATCATGGCCATGGCCTCATTGGTGGCAATTGCTGATGCATTTCTTTCCTCCTCCAAATCCTTGTAGAGAGTGTTCAGAAGGTTCCGATCATGCTCCACCTGCTGTCTTAGGCTCTCGACAATGTTTTCACCCTCTCCCTCAGCGGCATTTATACCCGGGACGTCGTGGTTGGGGTCGGGTATTTCTAGCGAGGATGAAGATGGAGGTGAGTTGGAAGTTCCGGAAACTTCTGGTTCCGTTCTAGGCTTGTCGTTGGCACTCGAGCTGGTTTGTTTGGGCGGTGACCCCATTCCGGGGGGTGTGGGGTTGTTTTTCTCATTGATTTTAGTGCTTGGGTCGGGATCATTTGGAGACGCCAATGATGATGAGGACGGGGAGGAGGAGGAGGAGGAGGAGGAGGAGGA